AATGAAGAATTTGAAACAAAGCAGCCCAATGTGTAGAATAAGGCGCCGAAACAACAGACAAACCACATAAACAGCATAGGCAAGATCAGGGCGAGTAACCATCAGAGAGACTAAGCAACCCATGAGCTCTCGATATAAAGTAAGATCATCTAGAAGAACACCATTAGTAATGTTAAGCTTCGCAGTAAGCTCAATGAGGGTATCAAAAGTCTTAGTGTCAACAAGACGGGCACGGTGAATAACCTCATTGGCATACTTGGCCCGAAATAGAAAGTAGCCCTTGAGAGAAGAAGCCACCTCAGACACAATTCTACGGTCTTGCTCCAAGTACTTTCTGGCCTCCTGCTAAATATACTACATCTACTCTGGCTTCAGATCCTAACTTGGCAGTGGGGGTGGGCATACGGTTGAGAAGAAAAACAGCTGTAAGAACTGCTTCACTCCAAAAGGGAACGAGAATAGAGGCAGAAGAAAGAAGGGACCCAGTTGTCTCAAGGAAATGACGGTGTTTACGCTCAGCGTGACCATTTTGGGCAAGTGTATCAGTACAAGAAGTTTAGTGAATGGTATCCAAATTGGCCAGATACTGACAGAACTCAATTTTAAAATATTCCCCACCTAAGTCAGGCCATAACAATTTAATGGTAGACCCAAACTATATAGTGATCATAGACTGAAAGGTACGGTATATTGGGTAGAAGTCAGATTTACAAGTCATAAAATAAACCTAAGTACAACAGGTGCAATCATCAACAAAAGACACATAACATGCAAAATCCCCTTTAGTGAGAACAGGAAAGGGTCTCCAGACATCAGTATGCACAAGAGAAAAAGGAGAAATAGAAATAAAAATACTTTGATTAAATGATAAAGCTAAAATTTTGGCAAGTTTACACCCCGAACATTTATCAATTGGACTAGGAGAAACTTTACCCAACAATCTTGATTGAGCTAAAGACCATAAGTGGTCAACAGACAAATGACCTAAGCGAGAATGCCATAAATAAAACTGACTAAATTGAGAATCGAACTGAAACGAGGAAAGTGCAGCTGGAGAGGTGGATAGAGGGAGATGCAAGCTTTCTACCACATAAAGGTCTCCAACTTCACGGCCCGTCCCAATCTGCTTCTTCGACACCCGATCCTATATACAACAAACAAAAGAGGAAAATATAATATCAAAACCAGAAGCATCAAGTTGACTGATAGATAATAAACTGACAGATAGTTGAGAAACATAAAGATCAGAGGGAATAGTAACAGCAGACATGGCAGAGGGTAAGACAAATGCAATAGATAGAACGAACATACTAGACCCATTAACAGTATTAATAGTAATAGGAACGAGAAGGGGAATACAGTTTTAAAGTAAGAAAATGTGAGTAGTCATATGATAAGAGGCACCAGAATAAAAAAGCCAAATAGAAGAAGGGATACCAAAAGAGGACCCAAGCAAACCTGAATGAAGAGAGGTAAAAGCGGAGGCAGATGGGCATGGCTGATAGGTGGACAAGACATGCTAAAATTGAGCAATCTAAGTACCTAAGGAAGCCAAGTCAGGATTTGGAGCCGGAGTAGATGTAGTATATGCGGCCGAAAAGTACTCGGAGCAGGACCGCAAAACTGTGTTTGAGGTGGCTGAGAAGACAAAGTAGGTTGACATCCCTTCTTGGGACATTTGTACTTCCAATGACCCCTCTGGTGGTAGAAAGCACACTCATCTGAACCTAATGGCCCCTTCTTGGGCTTCGCAGTGGCTTGAAGCTGATGAGGAGGTGAGGTCAATAACAAAGGAGGCTTAGCAGGAGCCAAGAAGATAGAGGGAGGTAGAGTCTAACAGGCCGTCTTAAGACGGGTTTCGCCACAGAGGAAAGAGGAGACCGGTGAAGGACGTCACCACGAATAGGAAAAACCAAAGCTAAATGGGTCAAATACTAATAAATTATGAAGCACGAACACCTCTCTGAGGGCTACGTATTAGTGTCAAACGCGCGGTGGACACGTGTCCGACACGTCGCAGAAGGGTCTTTTCTTCTTTCTTTTTTTTTTTACACGTCGCAGAAGGGTCTTTTCTTTTTTTTTTTTTTTTGTGTGCAGTCGGACACGTTTCAGACACCTTGGGATGAAAAACATAATTTCTAAAACTTCAAATGGGGGTCAATTTGTAAAAAACAAAAAATTGAAGAAATCCAACCAAGCCCTAACCTTGATTTTGAACAAAAAGAGGAGAAGAGGCGGAAAGAAGGTTGCAGGCCGATCGCTGCTCTTTACTCTTGCGAAGGTATGCTCTTCTTTCAACCTTCTTCTGCTTTTCAATCTATGTATCTCAGTCGCTCTCTCTCTCGATCTGCTCCCTCTCTTCTTCTTTCGATCTTCTTCTTCGTTCGACTTCTCTCTCTCTCGCTCTCTCTCTCTCTCTCTCTCTCTCTCTCTTTTGTTTGTTTTTTTCTTTTTCATTTTATATGATGAAAATCACTCTCTCTGTGACATTTTTGTTATATTGTTAATTTTTTTCTTTTTCTTTTTTTGACTTTTCTCTATCTCTATCTCTATTATTTATTTGTATTTTTTTTGTTTATTTTTTATTTATCTATATTCTTTTTTTGGTTGGTTGGTTTATTTATTTATTTTCTCTACCTTTTTAATTTTTTTTAAATAATTTTATGACATATAATAAATAAATTTAATTATATATATTGAACGTGTCCTTAGCATGTCGTGTCCCCCATTTTTTGAAAATTTGCGTGTCCACGTGTCTATGTCATGTCATATGTCCGTGTCCGTGCTTCATAGCTAATAAGAAACAAATTTAATTATATATATTGAACGTGTCCTTAGAATGTCGTGTCCCCCATTTTTTGAAAATTTGTGTGTCCACGTGTCTCTGTCATGTCATATGTCCGTGTCCGTGCTTCATAGCTAATAAGAAACAAAGCACAGTACTAGATGGGTCAACTATTCAATGGAGCAAATAAGAAGTATACCCGATTGGCAAACCAAACACTGAACTAGAGAGAGAAGACTAAGCAGTGAGGGGTCAAAGCACACTAAATCATATCGAACAGATAGGTCGACCAGATGAGTCACCCAAGTCGACCAGAAGGAAGAGACGAGCCTCATCGAAGGGGAGCCCTTTGGCAAGACAGAAGAACAACTATTGTTGATGAGAGAGAACTAGACTAAGATGATCCAGATAATCGACGAGCCAGACGAACCAGACGACTGATGAAGCAAGGAGCATCGATCGACACCCAATTCCGTAAGAGAAGTCACGAACCAATTTGAGCCAAGAAGACGACTCACGACCAATGATTGTGACCTCCTTCAACTGACCGCTAGGATTTCTCAACCAGCTCTGGTACCATGTAAGCTTTGTGAATAAATATGTATATTCAATTGTGTATAATACAAGGAGTACAACCGACATATATAACAATCCTAGACCTAATCTAAAATAGGAAATTGGGATAAACCTACTATTCACACAATCAATCTAATATATTAACATAATTAACATAATATTCTTACAGTTTTATGGTGGTTTAAAGCTGAAAATCAGTGGGAATTTTAGGCTTTCGATTAATGAATAGAATTAATTAGGCTCAGGATTGATAGATCAGGAGAAAGATATCAAAACAGGGGCTGTTTAGGAGCTGCAAACAAGAAACTAAAACAGAAAAGAAAAAGAAAGAAAAAAAAGTCTAGGCATAGCACCTAGATTCCGTAGGCACCACACCTGGGGTTAGGGTTCACTGCATCACACACACCAGAAAGAGACTCAGAAAATTCTATAAAAATATCAACTCTATTAAATTAGAAGCATTACATAGTTTTATATAGACTTTAGAGATTCCCTATTCCAACTAGAAACAAAAAAGAAAACTATTAAAAATACTGACTTCCAAAACTAATTTAAGACCAAATAAGAAATATAAATAAAAAACCAATTAAATAACTTAACCACAAGACAACCCATGGGCATCCCCTACAGCCCATGTTAGCAATTATGAAAATTACCAACATACCCTTTACCTAAAAATCCTAGAAACATAAAAATAATTATAAAATAAAACTCTAATAATACTAGAAACATCTATTATATATGTTTCCCATCGGATTTTCTTTGAAATCATGTCAATTTCCAAATATGTAGCTTATTTGAATTCACTCTTCCTTGAGCTTCTTATACTCTGCATCATCAGATCAGCTTTGGAAAGAATTGATGGATCCAAGAGTTTTTAAGTATAAGCTTAAGCCTAAAGTCTCATTCATTTTCATTGTCTTAGTCAGATGCCTGGATGAAAAATTTAGCACAAATTACACTAATCTGATAAAGGTAAGAGCAATTCTTGGACAAAGCATAAAAATGCATAATTTCGGCCTTGTTTGGTTTGTTTTTCAAAAACAAATTTTGAAGAAAATTTTTCAAAATTTTGTTTCGTTTAGTGATTTTGGAAAAAAATTTCTAAAATTACTTTCTCTCTCCCACACATCAATCAATCACTTTTTTTCTCTCCTCTCTCTTTGTCAATCACTTTTTTTCTCACACACATCTACCCAATTATAACAAAACATCATATCATCCCAAACTCCCATACTACAAAACTATTTTCAAAATATACAACCAAACAAACCAAAAATATTTCTAAACTCTCTCTCCAAAATCTTTTTTGAAAATTTATCTCTCAAAACCAAACCAAACATACCCTTAGTTTCTCCGAAGATGCTTGACTTAAAGCTTGGTCAGATTCTAGTTCTCTTCTGCTTAGTGTTTGTACAGTATATGCCAACAACTCGAAAGAATTCAATTGAATAGATACCCAAAAATACAATCTATGCTAATAATTCCATAGAATTTCCTATTCTTACTACTTCAGATATAATTTTTTTGGGGGGGAAAGCAACGAAATAAATTTATCAAATGTCGTGCTCTGATTTTATAGGAAATACATCAACATCCAATTAAGCGAAATTTTAAGCTATTGGATATCCATACTGACCAGAACATATTGGAAGTACCACAATTGACATTCCTATAAAAGCCAATGCAGCAGTCCCTCCAGCCAATCCATCAAGACCATCTGTTAAGTTAATTCCATTCGCCATGGAAACAAAGCAGAATGAAGTCAGAAGTAGATAACATTTTCCTAGAAAAACAAGCCCCAGTGGGGGAGGTAGAGGAACCAACATTTTCCTGCAATGCAACACAGTTAAATATGAGTAACAGCAGATGTTTTTCAACAATTATGACAAGAGTTATTCATGTAGGATGCAAGTGTTTCAACAGCAGATGTAAACTAAGAACTTCAATGCACTCGAATGGGTAATTTGTTCATGTCACTAATTCCACCAAGATTTTATGTCATCGAGTTAAGCACCAATGGGTAGAGAATTTTTCACTGTTGAAAACAATCAATTTACAGCTTTTAGACAGGGCTTTATACCTCAGAGAAAGTTGGTGGAAATATTAAATCATTTTAGACAAGTTATTGTGCATTTTCTTGTTGCTTTGGTGAAACAAGCATTTTTTTAAGGGATTAAATAACTGTATGGTCATCAGTGATGTTGCATTTAACTATATGTACATAAATATGACAATGAAACTTCAATATCCCTAAAAACTAGTAAAATATAGTTATTTCCGTTGCGAAGTTTGGGACAAGGAAGCATTGTTTATTTTAGGAGAAATCAAAGTTAGGGAATGATGAGACCATCACTCCCTTATATTTTAATAATATGAAATGTACAGTAGAAGCCTCAAGGCACAAAAGGAAACTACAACTAATGACAGCTAAGCAGAATCACAATCACAAAGATATTATTGTAACATTCTCCCTCAAATTGGTGCAAAAATATCTCTCATGCCCAACTTGCTAATAATATCATGGAACGGTTTACTTGCAACTCCCTTGGTGAGAATATATGTCAGCTACTCTCCAGACTTTACAAAAGGAGTACATATAGTATCACTAGTGAGTTTCTCCTTGATGACGTGACGATCAATTTGAAACATGTTTTATCCGGTCATGTTAAACTGGATTATGAGCTATGTTAATAGCAGCCTTATTGTCACAGTATAACCGCATAGAGTCTATCTACTCAGTTTCTAGATTACTCAACAGTAACTTTATCCACAAAAATTCACACACACCTTGTGTCATGGCTCTAAACTTCGTCTCTACACTAGATCTAACTACCACATTCTGCTTCTTACTTCTCCAAGTAACCAAACTTCCCCCAACAAAGGTACAAGACCTTGATGTAGACCTTCTATTAGTTACCGATCCTGCCCAATCAACATCTATATAAGCTTCCACACTAAGATGATCATGTTTGGAGTAATAGAGGCCCTTTCCAGGCAAAGATTTTAAGTATCTAAGAATCCACATAACTGTAGCTAGGTTTGCCTCATGAGAAGTATGCATGAACTGACTAACCACACTAATCGCAACAGCAACCACACTAACCGCAACAGCAATGTCCGGATGTAAATGAGATAGGTAAATGAGCTTACCCACAAGTCTTTGATAACCTACGTTACACGGACTTAGGTGTGGGTATCGGGTTTGGGTTCGGGTGCGTATCTGGGAGTCGGATACTTCAAAACTAAAAATTGAGAATACGGGGATATGTTAAATAATTATTTTTAAAATATATTTATTATATAAAAATGAGTTAAATAGTTATTTTTTAAATATATTTACTATTTTTTATCTTATGTATTATTTTTATTGATAATATTCTTAATTTATCTATATAATTAATTTTTTATTTTTAATTGACACATATATTATAAATACAAAATTATAATAAATAAGGAATAAAAAATTATGTTAAAATAAATAAAAATTAGATATTTTATTTTATAGATTTTTTTTATTATATATGATTTATTTCTTTTAAACAATTAGATGATTTATTTTATTTATTATATGTTAAAAAGTTAAGAAATAATAAATTATGTTAAAAAATAAAAAAAAGAAATAACAAATAAAAATTATATTAAGCAAAAGAAATTATATTATATATGATAAAATAAATACTTTTTTATTTTAGGCATATAAATTATATTATATACGATAAATTATATTATATAAAACAAATTCTATAAGATAGTGGCATGTATATAATATGATAGTGGTGTTGGTGACAGATAGTGGCATGTATAGAATATGATAGTGGTGTTGGTGGCAGATAGTGGCATGTATATAATATGATAGTGGTAGATAGTGGTAATATATAATATGTAAGTGGCATATAATGGGTTATAATGATGTTTGTAATATCTCCTATATAAGTAGTGTCATTTGGTCTTGTAAGATAAGAAGTTTTGAATATAACAGAAATATATTTCTTCTTCCTCATATTTTCTAAGTAAATGAAGAGAGAGAGAGAGCACAGAGACAGAGAGAGAAGCAAATAGACACGAAGAGGAGATCAAGAATGAGAGAAGAGAGAGACGAAGACAATCGAAATCGACAATGAAAGAAGAGAGTGACGAAGACTATCGAAGCCCTAAGACATGAAGACGATCAAGATCGACAGTGAGAGAAGACAGTGATGAAGACAATCGAAGCCCTAATCTCAGCCCTAATCATAGGTATGCCACCGTATCCACTTTCTCCATGTCGTATGTCGACCAGATTCCTTGTCGACACGGGTACTTTGCCAAAACTGGTGAGTTCATGTAATATTAGCTGATAACTCCCCCTGTCAACAAGAACTCCTCCACTATCATCACCAAGTTTTTGGTTTGGCTCTAATGGTGTGTCACAAACTTTACTGCCAAGCATTCTAGTTTCTTTTAGAAGATCAAGCACATATTTCCTTTGACAAATGAAGATTCCATCCTTAGACCGGGCAACCACAATACTTAGAAAATACTTCAAGTTCCCCAAGTCTTTGATTTGAAACTCACTTGCCAAATATTCCTTTAACCCAGGAATTTCTTCAACACCATCTCCTTTAAGTATTATGTCATCCGCATATACAATGAGAGCTGTAGTCTTATCATGTAAGGAATGTTTAACAAACAGTGTGATTAACTTGACTTTGTTTGAATCCATATCTAAGCATTGCCTGAGTAAATCTCTCAAACCAAACCCATAGAGACTGTTTGAGACCATATAATGATTTCTGAAACCTGCACACCTTACCCTTTGTTTTAAGATCATCAAAGCCAGGGAGGAATGTCCATATACACTTCTTCTTCTAGATCACCATGTAAGAAAGCATTCTTCATATCAAACTAGTGAAGTGGCTAATCCAGATTAGCTGCCAGAGAAAGTAGTACCCTGACTGAATTCATCTTAGCAACTCGTGCAAATATCTCTTGAAAATCTACTCCATAAGTCTGAGTAAAGCCCTTTGCCACAAGCCGAGCTTATAGTGCTCAATCGAACCATCTGCCTTGTGCTTCACAGTATACACCCACTTGCATCCCACAGTTCGTTTGCCCTTAGGAAACTCTATCAATTCCCAAGTGCCATTTTTATGAAGTGCTTTCATCTCTTTAACCATGGCACGTTTCCACTTAGGGGTGGCAAGAGCATCCTGAAAATCATCAGGTATACTAACAGAGGAATTTTTTAACACAAAGGCTCTATATGAATGAGACAAATTAAAATATGATACAAAACTAGCGATAGGATGTTGAGTACAAAACCTCACACCCTTCTGGTGGGCAATATGAATATCATGATCTGTGTATTCAGGGTTATCAGAGTTACCTAGACTCTCATCAGTTGAAGGAGACAACAGTGGAAAAATCAGGAGAAGTGGTCTCTTGGATGCAAGTAACCTTCTGTCTTTCTTCGTCCCTGACATAAACTTTTCCTTACTCCTTGAGTGTATCAACTTTCATATTCCCAATAGCTGGTTCACATTGTGGTTCACATGCTATATCCTCGACAACTGGTAAAGGTTCAGAAACAGATCCTATGCCAGGAATCTCTACAAACCAAGGCTCCCCCTAAAGGGATGACTAAGAAACCGAAGAGGACAAGAAGTAGGACTGGAACTCAAAGAATGTGACATCCATGGACACAAACTACTTACGTGAAGAAGGATGATAACACTTACACCCTTTTTGAGTAGGTGACTACAAAAGAAGGACACATTTAAGAGAATGAGGATCTAGTTTAACACGAGTAGGGGAAACACACCCAAAAACTTTGAGGGAAATAGAAGACACGGGCTAAAAGCCAAAGAATACCTGAAGAGGGGTTTGCTTGTGCAACATTTGAGTAGGGAGGCGATTGATAAGATAGGCAACGGTGAGGATAGCTTCACCCTAGTAAGACCGAGGCATATGCATAAAAAAGTCATACAACGAGCTATATCAAGAAGATGACGATTCTTGCGTTCCGCAATCCCATTTTGCTGAGGGGTATTGGTGCAAGAACTTTGATGAATAATGCCATGTGTGTTAAAGTATTTCCCTAAACCCGAATCAATATACTCACCCCCATTATCAGAACGCATAATTTTTACAACAACCGCAAATTGAGTGCGAATCATCTGATGAAAGGTTTGAAACACAAAAAAAAAAAACTCAATCTTTTCTTTTAGTAAATACACCCCAAGTAGTGCGAGAAAAATCATCAATGAAGGTGACAAACCATCTATGGCCTTTTAATGAAACAACACGAGGACCCCAAATATCAGAATGAATCAATGAAAAAGAAACGAAACTTCTATTAATACTCGGAGCAAAAGAAGCTCTGTGTTGTTTGCAAGTTGACACGACTCACAATTATACTCATAAACATTATTGTTCTTAAAAGAAGAAGGAAACAAATTCTTAAGTAATAAAAAAGATGGATGTCCCAGACGCCGGGTGGTTGGAGACTGGATGGCATGATGAGTAATGTGATCTTCCTAATCTAAGATGTAGAGGCCATTCTCTCCTCTAACACTGCCAATCATCCTCCTCATGATAAGGTCTTGAAAAAGATGATCATCAAGAAAAAAGGTTACACTACAATTCAAATCCTAAGTAAGACAACTCAATAATAGAAGATTAATAGAAAAATTAGGAGCATGTAAAACTAATGACAAAGGTAAAGAAGATGTGGCATGGATTAAACCTTTCCTAGAAACAGAAAAAATGGTGCCATCAGCAGTCCTTACTTTGTCCCGACCTGAAGAGGGCTTATATTCCGAGAAAAGATCAGAAGATCCAATCATATGATC